AGCTCCGGCGATAAAAAGGGTCATGCGTAGTTGCTTTCCAATAATGAAACAGTAGCTGATAAGTAATTCCTCAAAGAAGAAAAAAGCAAGAACATTTTTGAAGAATACTGTAAACAAAATCGCTCCTTGGCAGTCATACTTCCGTGCGGTCTCTGTGCAACCCCTGGCTCACAAATTCCTTTATCACATCTCTCACTAGTGGGTATCATCCAATGCACTGAAAAGAATACGAAAAACAACAAAAACACGGATGAAAAACTCTTGAAAAGGAAAAGAAACATCCAAAAACTAGGCGTCTGAATTTAGGGTTACGGTAGCGTGCATCTTTTGGTGTAGCGTGGTGCGTCGAGCTTTTGCGCCACGAAAATTGGGTCGCTCGTATTTTTACGCGCTTTTACCTTGCAATATGGGTTGGAGTTGACTGTATGTGCTCCTTATGAGTAAAATGTAATAAAGGAGACAAGAGTCTTATGGGCACGAGCGCGGTCAGCGAAAAGTGCCGATTCCGATTAATGCCCGCCGCCCCAACAAAGAACAACTCCGTCGGAGGACATCTAGCAAGTGGGCGGTCTGACTGAGCGGGCGTTAGAACTAGAACTCTCGGCAGCTGTAGCTCGCTTCTTGCTCGCTTTAGAGTTGCGAGAGTGGGACAGTCTCCTTGTCATCAGCACTTTATCAACGTATTACGTGACGTCAATGACGCGTCATTTGTCTTCTTTTGACAGGACCATCTTAGAGGTAACGGACTATACTTTATCTGCGCCACTAACTTTCAGAAACGTCAACATACCCGGTGTCCGTGCGCCAGCTTTGGTTTGAGCACCCATATCTGTAAATTATATCATTTTAAACTGGATAGCTCCATTCAGAGAGCAATTTTTTCACCTTTGGCGTTTGCTCCACCAAATTCCTCAGATTCCGATGCAAGATTTACGTCGTCACCATCCCTAGAACATTCTTGATGATGTCAGTAACCTACGAAGTGCGCTTCCGTCCTGTTTAACTCCTGAAGTCCTCAAAGTGGCTGTCAGTAGTTTCAAACTTAAAGTCACAATCCCTCTTGGGCGGGTAGAGACTCATATCTTCGCTAATTCTCTGTCTATTTACCGGACTTACCAGGCGCATCAATGGGGAGTGCGCAAAGGGCGCTATGTGTTCCGGGAGGTGTCAGTCTGTAAATTAGCCCGAACAGCCCGTACAATAGCCCGCGTCTTTATACAGGAGGGAGCAGCTACTTGGAACATTTTATTTTTCTTTACAAATTTCAAGTGATTCACCCATCCCTCCCGCTCCTAAAATTTGTAGGATTCTGCAAAACTGACGCAAAATTCGATTTTATCTTCTGAAGTCACATATCCCCCGACGGTTATGGATATCCTCTTGCCCGATTACCGTGGAATGTATTCAGGAGGATTCCAGCCAGAAGAGGAAACCGCCTCTTTGTTGCCAAGGGCAAGGGCCACCCCTACAAAGCCGTGAAGCTGTCTACCTGAGTGGTTCGAGTCCTGGTTTTGCATCCCGCTTGGGCGCAGATATACTGAATGCTGCTCGTCTTCTTTGACTTTGGTTTTTCGTAAGATCATTGCGAGTAGGTTGCATTATTGCGATAATCCTCCTAGAAAGTTTTTTTTAAATTCTGGTATAGAAAGATCAAACTCAAAGGAAGATCCGATTCCTAATTTAATGGACGTTGTGTTGACGTAATTACTTTCTTCTTTTAGTGAAGGCATGTGATCTAGGTGCCTAAGAAAAGGACATGTGCCCTCAACGATCTCCACAGACGGCCAAGAGAATCATGATTCGCCGCTTTGTCGCGCGCGGCGATGGGCGCGACTTTTCTAAATTTGCACTATCCTTTCGATTGGAGCATCAGATTTCATGTATACTAAGACATGGTAGACACTCATGCCTATTTTTGGTCATACGTTGTCTATTCTTTACCAGTACCACCTAAAATCGTCGTCATTAGCAGGCACGACGTCGCACGCGACGCCCATTGGCGCAGCGATGCGCGCATTCCCGTGCCACATACCCTCACCGATGGCAAGCCCGCGTTCAATGAATTCGTACGAGTCCGTGAGGCAACGTTCAGACTTCGCGACGGCAGCAATCGATACGCATGCTTTCAACTGCATCGGTCGCGTCGACCGCGCGACCAAAACGCGCGACCGAAGGCTGCTGTCGTCTGAACGCTGCCTAAGTGACGAGGGTGCTGCAGCCATCCTAAGTTGCAGTTAGATACGATACCCTCGTATCTCCTTATCCCCATGAAACGAGATGTGTGCAGTGTTATTCGCCGCGGATGTTGCGGCGTGTCAAGAGGGGGAGGAGGTTGGCTCGACGCGAACCCGTCTCCCCTCCAACTGTTGTCGCTAGCCTACTTCAACAAGTTATGGTGAACCAACTGGCACCTTGCCGAACCCAGTCAACCCGCCTCAGCAACCGCTGCGAACAACAGTATGGCATTCAGTACTGGACGATGGGACGAAACGATTATAAGCAAGGGACGCACATAGAGGGAAGTCGTATCGGTTTTCTGGCATGAAGTCATTGATTCCAGAGACTTCGCTTTCCCGCTGTCGCCATTTTCCTCGGGAAGGGCCTCTTTCCAGCAAGTTAGCCACATCATGTTCTGAAGCCATGTCACGCTGTCTCGATGAGGTGGACAAGCAGTGGCTCTGCCCCCCTGGACTATGGCGCACCTTGAGGTACAGCATAGCATCCTTTTCTATAACGGGCTCATACCAGTGGGTGCGTGTCGCCCAGCGTTCAGACTTCGCGATGACGCGTGTTCGAAACGCGTATCACGCTTCGACGCGCCACGCGCGCCAATGCTATAGGTGAATTCCATATCGATCGAAATCGGCGCCAGCGGCGTTGGAAGAGTAAGAATAATAGAGTGGCCTAACACACAGAGTAAGAATAATAGAGTTGCCTCTGGTACCTCCTTTTTTCCATACTTTCCCAAAACACAAGCGTCGATCGATATCAAACAGTGTGATTAGGCAGTGCATACCTATCTATTCTCCCCACTCTCTCAAAGTAATAGCGGTCAGCGCCGATCGATAACCGTCGATTCGCGTCATCACGAGGTCAGAACACTGCTTGGGAGATTCGTGTTCCAGCTGCGCAGCGGAAGTGGTGTTGCTTGTGACATCAAGTGTGGAGCAAAGTCCATAAGGACATAAAGCGTTTTCAAGGAGGTGGGGATCGCTGACAGCTGCCTATTCGCGTGACGATTATGCTCCCTCGTACGTGCCTCTTTGAATGTCTTCCGTCTGGGCTTCGCGCCAGTCGCCGCATTTCTTACTTGCGTGTCTGGAAACGCCTCTTTTAAGGCTCAGGTGTAGCCCACACACTGCGCGTCAGTGGTGAGTCAGTATATGTAGTTTTGCAGTTTGTCATAGACGGTGGAAGACTGGACAGAACACTCAATGAATGTCTTTGAATGGCTGACACGAGGACGATCTGCTGTAGACTAATCGTTGACCCCTTCCGTTTTCGATCGAGTTCCGAATAAACCAACGAAAAGATATGACATACCTGAAATGGTAGCGCAAATAAGAGCACGCTTACAGACGACAATTGATGACTGCCTTGCAGTTTGACGTCAGTAAAATAAATGTTACTAGTGCAAGGGATATACGCATGTGGATATCATCGCCTGATAAGTGATCATTGTACCCTTGCACGTTTTTAGTATGCAGTGTTATGATCTCAAATGCATTTCACCTTCGTAAGATTCACTGAATGGATATTGATTGGTCGCGAGCAATATCGATGGGAGACGGACAAAACAATCGCAGTTTGCCGCGCCATCGCGCCTCGTGCATCGTGCAGCAGTGGGTGCGACAGTTCAACTAGAACGTTCTACAATGACCAGGGAGTTATTATTTCCGATTTAAGGTATCTTCTATTCTCGCACTCCACGGTGAAAAAAAATTGACTTTAGATCCTATATATGCGGCTGCGAACAATCGTCTGCCACATGCGACATCGCTCCACGCCCACCACTGCGGCGAGTTACGATTGTCCCCAACATCGATGCGTATGCTCCAGTAAATTGGCAAAGTAACTTGCGAGAACAGCCTCCGTTGACGGCAGCTACTCTGCATGTGAGTAAAGTCGTTTCATGTAGCGTTCCCAGAAGCTGTACAATTTTTTTTTGTAGGGTCCTGGAATGTTAGGACGGCGGAACATAAATCACCGCACAAATACAACTTAACATAGTTGGAAAGCGGAGAGTGCTTATCCTTGAAAGCACATTTCGCGCTAATTGTTTGGGTGGAGATGGGGAAGAACCTTATTGGGCCGTTCCTGTTCACAGCATTAAAAACAGCCGAAGAACGATGAGCGCGACCCAGTGATCTCCTACTCCACCCATCCGGTCATCGTGCAATGTTGACATCGCATCGAATGTAGGATGCATTGTTTCTTTCAATGGGCCGCGCTCTTCACTCTGTACCCAGGGCACGCCGCTGGAGAACCCTAGCAAGTAAAGGCAGTATTTGCATTCGAGAAAAATGTTTTCGTTTGTTGACTTTTCTCGTTACTTTGCGCTATATACTTCCCTCCCGCCCGCACTCAACAGTAGTTTATCGGGGTCAGGGAATCAACGCACCTCTCAGGAAGGGGGGGGGGCGTGGGACGGACTCGACCAAAACCCCTTACTCATGTGACCTGACCGGGGAAAGCATGCGAATATTGGGAAAACTCCGGGAATGTGGCAGAGGAAATAGGGAGAGTTTGGGGAGCTGGTAGTTAGATTGGAGGGATGAGGGAGGGGGTCGTACTAGAAGAGTAAGTTTTGAGGGGTGGGGGTCGCAGTTTGCAAAAGTTTTGACCAACCACAAGGCGTGCCCTGTTGTAACCTCTCGTATCTCCTCCCAGTAGTTTCCACATATACTCTAGTTCGTTGCGGATGAAAGGGCGTGCCAGGCGGTAAGTGTGTGCCACGGTTCCTGCCAGTTGTTGAATCGGGTATGCTACAACAATTCGAAGAATACGAGTGATACGAACGATATGATACAGTTTTCTGATTTGCTCGCTTCAGAAACTGAGGGAGAACGGGTTAGCACCGCGCCAAGCTCATCCCGCCTGACAGGCCCCTTCGTCCGCAGTGAACCAGACTTTACACCCTATAAGCGTTCAGGAGATTTCGATACCACTCCTAACAAACACTTCAGATGATTTTCTAATTTTATAAGCACTGTGAAATTGTAACACATAGAAAGTTTTTGATCGTAATATTGTAGATCGATTGAGTTTTGAAGAATATTCAGTCTTCGACGACCAGAATTGCGATGAAATCGACTGTTCCGGTGAGGTGAAGACATATGACCGTTGTAGTACCGATTGCTAATGCAGCCACTACCAGAGCAACAACTACGAAACACTTGAAAGGTGACTGAAAAATTGCTTTTTTTGATTTTTCCCGCACACAAACTCCGTATCCTGTAAAGGGGAAGGGCGTGGCTGCGTACTTCATAAGGACATGACCTAGGTCGTGCTTTCGTGCTTCTTCGTTTGAGACAACTGTCATCCTATCTAGTGCTCGACCAAAACATGAGTCCAATTGTTTCAAAGCGGCAATATCCTAGAAACGGATGCTTTGCCATGATAAAATGAAGTACGCGACCAAGTCCTCCTCACGTCCGCGACATAGAGACGCTCTTTCACCTGTTGTTCAGGTCACGACTAGATCATTTGAAGTGCTCTGTGCTCATGGGGGTAGCTAGGTTATCAGCCGTGTGAACTGCACCACTTTCGCGGCCCTGAAATACTTGGGAAGCGCCAACAGGCTAACATGGGGTGCCCACTGGAAGTGCCGCTCAGTCAGTGACTATCTGCTTCCTGTGCAGGTGCTAACTCAGCAGTGAAAAAAGGGAAAACGGCGAAACACTGTCAAGGGGGCCCTACATTAGGCCTCTGTAGGTTTTGAGCAGTATACGAGAATGTGGGAAGAACAGTAAGGGTACAGAACAGAACCAGTTGAATGAGGATTGAGTATGAGGACGAACAAGACCTACCCCTGAACAGCAATGGTGAAGTTAAACAGAAAGGGCGAAGTCAGACCTCTATGGGTAAGGCCCGATCTTTATGGGGGACTTCGGCCAACCTTGTGACCCATTTCCGAGCCGCGAAAATGTGTGACTGCTGCGCTACTCTAAAGGCAGTTGGCACGATGGTTTCTCACTCGGCATAAAACGCTAGTAAGGCGCTATGTAGTGGGGAAATGGCGAAAGAACGGAAAGAAACGGTCAAAATCCGGCGAAGAAAAAGCCTCCGTTCTCGGTGACCTGAAAATCGATTTCGGACGAGTTTCCCATACGCATCTTGCCAGTCACCGCTACCGAAAATACGGCTGCATATGTGCACCCATGTATGCATGCAGCATCACGGCCGCTTTATACCAATCCCTTCGCTTCATAATTTGCTTAGCAAATGAATTGATCAGAGCGTCAGGAACAGGCGTCCGTTGCGTTTGTGTGGCGGTCGGGCGAGGATGGCGTTTGGGACGGAATGTTGTGCTTGTAGGGGGTTTATAGGGTACCCTCCTTGGAAAGGCGCCACGGAACGCCGTACGAGTCACGGAATTC